GATCCTCCTGACTGGTACGCCTTGGCGTGACGCCATGTGCCTATATTTGAGTTTGACATGGATCAGATAAGGGCTGCTATGTCGGTCATATATGCTGATGACTCTAGTGTGATTGTACCCTATTACCCAGTGTTATGTATGTAGTCTAGACTCCCTTGCTGCGTCAGGCGTAGGACCCTCTGCCTTGTTTAGCCTAGGCTCCACACTAGCCGCCCGCCCCCCTTCCCCCCCCCCGTCGGCTGACGCTACTGCGTTGCTTTCTTTCACGCTTGACTCTGGAGCGTCTGCCTGTGTCTTCCCCAACCACACTGCGCTTACGCCGCTTGCCGTCCCTGCCGCTGTCGCACTTGCTGACCCCTCCTCAGGGTCAGTAATTGCCTGTAGCTCCACCACCCTTCCCCGTCCGGCTGTCCCCTTGGGCTCTCTTACAGGTCTACACATCCCCTCGTTCTCCAGCAACCTAGTTGGTGTCGGCTGTCTTTAGGACCTCAGCGTCACCACTACGTTCCCCGTACACGAGCAATACGCGGTCTGTACCGAGGCCGCCACAGATGCCCCCCTCACCACATTCCCCCCAGGACCCGGTGTCTGGCTTTTTTATGCTTGACACCGCGCCCCCCCCCCCCAGTGAGGGCGTCGCCCTAGGTGTCTGTGTCGACCGGCTTGCTCATGTCGGTCGCTCACTCACCCGTAACTTCTGTGGCACCACCGCCTAGGTCACCCCGCCCTCCCGCGTCTGTGTCAGATGTCAGATCACGGTCTTGTCTTCGGACTTCCCGCGTCACTCCCTGCCCTTCCTCCCTCGCCTGCGCCACCGTGCACACCTTACGTCGAGGGCCGGCTGCGCCGTGCTCCTCACTCCTCCTCGCTTCCCCCTACCACTGTGCCACTCCAGACCCTGCACCTGGACGTCTGGGGCCCAGCCCCCATCCCAGGGCCGCATCGAGAGAGCTACTTTCTAGTGCTTGTTGATGACTTCACGTTCTACACCACGATGTTTCCTCTGGATTGGAAGGCCGACGTGCCTCACGCCCTTATCTTGTGGGTCATAGCTGCGCGAGTCCACCGCGGCCTCTCTGTGTTGCGTCTCCAGTTCGACCGTGGTGGCGAGTTCGCCTCCGGTCAGCTTGGCCAGTTCTGTCGCGCGGAGGGCATCACCCAGTCGTACACCCTGCCGGATTCCCCCTAGCAGAATGGGGTCGCTAAATGACGCATCGGTTTGATCATGGAGGTTGCTTGTACCTCCATGATTCATGCTGGTGCACCCCGTGTTGTAGTGGCCGTTCGCTGTTCGCTACGCCGCTCACGAGCTTAACCTGTGGCCGCACTCCCAGCGCCCGCAGGATTCGCTGACCCTTCTCTGGACCGGGTTCCCTAGTGACGCGTTTGCGTTCCACGTCTAGGGCTGCCTTGCTCACGTTCGTGCCGCTGGCACAGACAAGCTCATTGCCCGCACTGTCCCGTGTGTCTTCCTTCGTTTCCCCCCCGACGCGTCTGACAGGCACTTTTACCACCCGCCGTCTCACCCCTTCTTTCACTCGCGTGACGTCACTTTTGACGAGTCTGTCTCTTTCTACACCCGCTTTCCCCACCAAGGTCTCCCGGTTGCCCCGCCCCTGTTCTTGGTCCCCACCCCCCCAGGTGCCCCTACTCCTCTTCCTCCCCGTCCTGCCCCGACTGGTGTGTCTCACATAACTCCCCTCCCGTCGCTTGTTCCGGTTGAGGAGTGAGCGGACTCCGGGGGCCCTGCGGCTTTGGGTTTGCCGCCTGTCTCCGCCCCGGTGTCCCCTCCGCCGCCGCCGCTGCCACCGCAGCAGCAGCGGTCGCCGCAATCGCTGCAAGGGTCCGCGAGTTCTAGGGGTGCGGGCATTGGGGAGGGTGCTAGTCTTGAGGTTACTGTCGTGGCTTGTCCCAACAGTCTCGGGAAAGGCACCGGTGCTGGAGAGGGTTCTCGTTCTGGGGGTGCTGGTTTTGAGGGTGCTAGTCCTGGGGTTACTGCCATGGCTTGTCTCAGCGGTCTCAGGGGTGGCACTGGTGCTGGAGAGGGTTGTTGTTCTCGGGGTGCTGGAGTGGAGTGTCCCGGAGGTAGCCATGGTACAGCTGGAGGCCCTGGTGTCGGCGTGGAGCAGCAACACCAGCAGCAGTCGCAGTCGCCACCGGTGTCCGCTCTTCTCCTCCTTAGTCTTCCCTCCCTTGACCACCCGCCTGCGCCTCCCCCACCGCCGCCTGCCCTGCCTGTCTCCAGCCCTGTCTTTCCTTCACTGGACTCGTCTCTGGCTCGTTTCCCCCCTCGTTCTCCTCCTGTGTCTCCGCCTATGTCTCCTCACCTGACGCCTTTGTCCCACATCTGGTCTCGCCGTCCCTCTCATGCTCATCCTGTCTCCCCTGTTCAGTGCTCCCACGTATGTTGCTTTGTTCCCACGCGTCTCGTCCTCCCCTCCTCTCATCGCCTCCTCCGTCGTCGCTTGTTCTCGCTTCGCCTCCTCTGTCTGACTACCTTTGTGTCGCTGATCCTCTTCCTCCTCGGGTCCTTGCCTCCCTTGTTACCGACCTATTTGTTCCTGTCTCGAGTCTTGACACGCTTGTCGCTGCCGTCGCTGACTTCGCCACTACCCGCCGGCTTAACTACGCCAGTACTCTGGTCTCCATGCTGCTAGTCCCTGAGTGTCACAAGATCGAATGTTTCGAGGAAAAAGTTGCACTATCGATTGATACAATGCACTTTTATACTTCCAAGGTACATCAAGTAAGCAAATTTATCCTATCCAAAGGGAATAGACCCTTCTAGAAATAGAATCACCCTGTGTATAGACACGCGAGGCTATTGGCTTTAAAGGATTACGACAGGATTACGCTACATATAACGCGCCAGTACATCCCGAGCCTGGTCGGTCGGTGATATAATTAGAATAATAGGATAAACCAAAGGATAATGGAAAATGAGGAATAGGAAACCAAATGAGATGAGAGAAAGATCAAAGGAAGGAATTGAGAAAGAAGTTTAACGGGGCCATACTCTCACACTAAGGGGAACCCAGAAGCCTTCGACATCCCAACCCCTCGCACTTACGCTAAGGCGACCTCGGGACTCTGGGCGTCCCACTGGATAGCTGCCATGGACGCAGAGATGGCATCTTAGAGATCCACCGGCACCTACGTCAATGCAGTTCCCCCACCTGGGGTGAACGTAGTCGATGATCAGTAGCTCTTCAAGGTGAAGCACCCTCCTGGAGAGCCGCCGGTGTTCAAGGCACGCTACGTTGCTACAGGCTTCAATCAGTGCGAGGGTGTTCACTTCTTCCAAACCTTCACCCCGACGCCGAAGATGACTACTCTTCGGACGCTGCTATACGTAGCAGCACAGCGTGAGTATGAGCTGCAATCTCTCGACTTCTCGACCGCGTTTCTTCAGGGCAGTCCGCACAAGCAGGTCTACCTGCGTCGCCCGCCAGGCTTCACCAACACCTTTGCCCCAGGGACCCAGTGGCTCCTCCGGCGCCCGAATTACGGCATGCAGCAGGCGCCGCGTGAGTGGCACGACACGCTTCATGCTACGCTAGCTGACCTGCAGTTCATCCCGTCCTCTGCAGACCCCTCGCTCTTCGTTCGTGCTGGCCAGACCCCGTTCTACATCCTTGTCTACGTACACGACTAGGTATTTGCTACTGCAGACAGAGATGCGTTGGCCTCCGTGAAGGCCGAGTTGCTGAGGAGACACACCTATACTGACCTAGGAGAGTTGCGCCGCTACCTTGGCCTTCGGATCTCCAGGGACAGAGAAGCGCACACCATCACTCTCATACAGTTACACTTGGTGCACCAGGTCCTTCAGAGGTTCGGTCTTCAATTCTCCTCCGCACAGCCCACACCTCTTTTCGTAGATCACAGGCTCTCGGCTCTAGTCTCTGAGGAGTCTGTAGAGCCTAGTGGTCCTTACGCAGAGCTGGTGGGTTGCCTCATGTATATGATGACTTGCACTCGTCCAGATCCCGCATACCCTCTCAGCATCCTGGCTCGCTTTGTGGCCACAGGCAGGCACCGACCACAGCACAGGTCGGCCGCTAAGAGGGTTTTGCATTATCTAGCAAGTACATCGGGCATGGGACTAGTGCTAGGAGGACACCGGCCAGTGGTCCTTAGAGGGCACAAAGACGCTTCATGTGCGGACGACGCTGAGACAGTAAGGTCCTCCCAGGGCTACTGCTTTAGCCTTGGTGCAGGCACCATCTCGTGGCGGTCCACCTGCTCGTCCTCTGTTGCCCAGTCTAGCTGTGAGGGTGAGATCTACACCGGTGCCATGGCGGCACAAGAGCTCCGCTGGCTGACTTTCTTGCTCACAGACTTAGGTGAGCGGCCTAGTTCTGCCCCAGTCCTGTACGTTGACAACAGGGCCATGATTCTCCTGTGCCTGTAGCCTCGACTGGAGGGCAGAGCAAAGCACATCCAGCTGCGGTACTTCCTCCTGCACGAGCTACAGCAGCGCCGCGAGGCCCGCGTAGTACACTTGGCCTCTGGTGCCAACACAGCTGATATCTTTACGAAGGCGCTTGCGCCTAAAGATCATCAGCAGCACTGTGTACAGCTTGGTCTAGTTCCTGTAGCTTCACACTTCCGAGGACCATGATTGTGTACTACTCCTTATATTATCTTGAATGGCCTTGTGGCTCTTGTCCCAGTGGCTGGACTAGTAGTACCGCCCTGGGTTGCTCTTGTTTAATTTGTAGTCTTGCTGACTGGTCTTCGGACCCCTACCTCAGAGGTTGGACTAGTAGTGCCACCCTGAGCTGTGTGTCTCTTGCTAGGCACTGCCCCTCATCTAGCCTAGGGGGTGTGTCAAACATATTATGCATGTCTTATAGGCTAGATAGGTGCATACTCTTAGAGGGTACAACCCCTTAGACAAAACCAACCTGTTTGCCTCATTTTAGTCAATCTTCCTAACTTTGATACTGAGAACTTGGTGTCACTGGTTGTGATGCGGCGGTGCAACTCTGGAAAGAGATTTGGGAATTGTTTAGACATGTATACACTGCTGAAGCAGCAGGAATTTCGAAGCGACACTAGACCAGCCTAGTCAAGCATCTTAGAAACATGACGGGATACACCATCACAAGTTTCTGGCTCAACCATCAACCTTCACATTCATAGAGGAACGTTCTCCAAGCAGTTGTGCAGGCAATTGGCACCCATGAAGTAGAGGTTGGCATCTGGGCTGTTCCCTTTCCCATCATCCCGCCAGCAGGTGTGTTTGCATCCATGTGATTGTCTTGTCCCACATGGCGTCCGTCACCTCATGCCCCACTCCCCGCTCCGCATAGAACTGCCACAGACGAAATCGTGGAAAGAGGCACGGGAGAAGAGGAAAGAAAACCTGAGGAGAGGGCACAGCAGGGCAGGTGAGGGGAGAGGGGGGGAAACATGAGGAGGACCCCATGGGTGGTGGTAGGTGGCGAAGGTGAAGGCAAACCCACGGGATGTGCTGCAATGAGCTCGTGACGTGCGTACCAAGTGAGACGAGACACAGCAGAGGGCCCCTCGCCGTGCCTCAGCCTGTGTGTTTGCAAGCCAGGGAATGTACCTCGAATCTGTGTGGCACGCGTGCCCTGCTGTACGCCTCCTCTGTGCGCCTCACTGCTTCCCTCAACCCCTCCACGGGGCACCTCGGATCACTCTCCCCTGCAAACATGTCGATACAGTAGAGAGGTAATGGAGTGAGTGATATGAGAGAGGCCTACGGGTGCCTACCCCCTGCATTCAAACGAAGACTTCAGGGTACGATGCAGCACTGTGGTGAGGTGCATGGTGCCACAAGCGCACCATTCAGAATGAGCAGTGGCCGCGGGCAAATTGCCGGCAGGGAGTTGCGAGGGCCAAACTGGTGCAGCAGGCCAGGAGTGATTCGGTTCCACACCTGGGCTCAGCAGGCGGGTGGGGGGAGGTGGGGTGGAATGATGATGGGGGGAGAGGGAGGGTGTGACACGGAAATGGCTGAGGGGGACAGGGAAAAGGTGGTACCGGGGTGTGGGGAGAAAGGGACGTAGAAAGTCGAGAGGTCCATAGAGTACAAAAATGCACCACGCTGGGATGCATGCTGGCTGCCCTGCAAGAAGCTCATGAGGTGGGCTGCTGCCATGAGTCATTGAGCATGCTAACGAGCCACGCATGCACCGGGAGATGGCAGACGAGCAGAATAAAAGGCCTTGCATTCTCATGCTACAAGATCGGGTTGTAATTGACATGTGATAACTGTGCTCCACTCCCAAGTGGCACTCACCGCTGTGACCACTTGTGCATCCACCTCTGACTTCCCCATGTCCGCTGCTGCTGCTGTTGAGGTGAGGCGAGCAGGGGGGAGGCAGGAAGAGGGAGACTAAAGGCGCTAGGTAAGGGAGGATTGACAAACAAAGACACAGGGAGAACGGCACCGAAATCAAGTATCGCCGTGAACCCAGTGAACACACGTAATAAAACGAAACGAAATCCAGTGAATACAAGGGCTCAAGGATGTGCACCATTGAAAGCATGCGGTATGGAGGCCACTCTAGCGTGGAAGCAGTTGTTGTCCACCGCCCACTTGAAACACTGCAGGGAGAACGGATGGGGGAGATTGAGGTGGGAAGGCAGAGATGGAACATGTAACGCAAATGGAGGCCACCACAGCGCGAAAGCAGTCATTGTCCACCGCCCGCTGGAAGCACTGCAGGGAGAATAGAGAGGGGAGATGGACGTGGGACGGTGAGAGTGCAGAGATGGAACATGGGAGTGCAGAGATGGAACATGGGAGTGCAGAGATGGAACATGGGAGTGCAGAGATGGAACATGGAACACAAATGGGCCACTCGGGCATGGAAGCGGTTGTAGTCTACGGCCCACTATAGCACAGGAGGAAGGACGGACGGGGGAGATTGGCAGGGGGAGTGCAGAGTTGTAACATGGAACACAAATCGATGCCACTCTGGCATACAAGTGCCTTTTTTGCTGCCCTGCAGGTCCAGCGAGGAGCTCCTTGAGGTGGAGGTGGCACGAGGCTGAAAAAAAACAATTCTTCAAAATAAACCCAGGGTATCTCTTCTTTCCGTGTTATCTTCCCTACAAACACAATCTACCCACAGGCTCTCTAGCATGTACAGCCAGGTATGGTTGACCTCACTAAAGTCCTTCCAAAAAGCGTGGTCAATAGGGCAACTTGCAGACTTGAGGTAAGTAGCGGCGCTCTAGGATGCCATGGTACGAGGCAGATGCCATGGTACGAGGCAGATGCCGCAGGGAAATCAGAACGAGCTAAGGGGGTTGGGGGTTGAGCTGGAGATCTGAGGCATGAAGGAGGACGATAATGAGAGGCAGGGCTGGGTTTGTAAAAAAATGGAAGGATCCCAAGGAGAAGGTGAACGGTGGGTGGAGCCTGGAGGTTGTCAGGGTTTGTAATAGCTGGGGCATCCAAGCTCCATCCACAGTTCACCTCCACTTGGGACACTCAAATTTCTCCAATCCCAGAACGCCTCAGAGCTCCATCCATCGTTCTTCTTGCTTTTGGTGCTCGTTCCCAATCTCAGGGGCCTCCGCCTACTTTGAGTCGACTCAAAATACAACTGGTTCCCAATCTCAGTGGCCTCCGCCTTCTTTGAGTCGACTCAAAATACAACTGGTTCCCAATCTCAGTGGCCTCCGCCTATTTTGAGTCGACTCAAAATACAACTGGTTCCCAATCTCAGTGGCCTCCGCCTATTTTGAGTCGACTCAAAATACAACTGGTTCCCAATCTCAGTGGCCTCCGCTTATTTTGAGTCGACTCAAAATACAACTGGTTCCCAATCTCAGTGGCCTCCGCCTATTTTGAGTCGACTCAAAATACAACTGGTTCCCAATCTCAGTGGCCTCCGCCTATTTTGAGTCGACTCAAATACAACTGGTTCCCAACCTCAGTGGCCTCCGCCTATTTTGAGTCGACTCAAAATACAACTGGTTCCCAATCTCATTGGCCTCCGCCTATTTTGAGTCGACTCAAAATACAACTGGTTCCCAATCTCAGTGGCCTCCGCCTATTTTGAGTCGACTCAAAATACAACCGGTTCCCAATCTCAGTGGCCTCCGCCTATTTTGAGTCGACTCAAAATACAACTGGTTCCCAATCCCAGTGGCCTCCGCCTAGCTCTTCGCTCGTACCATGACCTCTCAGAACAACTCTTTTCACCTCAACTTTGCAAATTGGTCCATTGACCACGAGTTCTGGAACGACTTTATTGAGGCCAACCGGACGTGGCTGTACATGCCAGGGAGCTCGTCGATGGGGAGTGTTTTTTGGAAGGATTACACAAATGAAGAAAGAGCCTGGATGTATATATATAAAATTAAAAACAATTAAAAAAACCCTTTTTGTAAGCCATATGTGACGCCCGTGCTAGGGAGGTGCTCGTCGCTGTTGCGGGCCCAGCGATTGGGGTCTGGAAGATTTTGGATACAGAAAGAGAGGGTTCTGGGGTTAAGCTGCCAGCCTGCCACTATCAAGTGCTCACTGGAAACACCACAGAGAAACGGGAAGAGGGTGGGGGAGGTAGATGCGAGTGGGTGGAGAGGAGAGTTGGGGGAATGAAAATTACAGGGGAGCAAGGGGAAGTGGGGTGGGAGGGAGGCGGGGGTGATCAAAGAGGAGATGCAGCAGAGGCCGGGGCGAAATGGAAGATGCTCCAACAGTCCACACTCACCTGCACGTATCTTCAGCGCCCGTACGCTCCACACACCTACACTACCGCACGCCACACACTCACCCACACCACACCCCATGCACCAAGGTGCAAAAAAAGGGTTTCTGTATTAAACGGTGCGTTTTTTTACGGTCGTTTTATACGGCATATTTTTGCAAATTCTACCGTTTTTTTGTTAGAGCTTTTTTCCCCCCCCCCCCCCCTTTTTTTTTTTTTTTCAACCCTTAACTTTAAAAAACCGCTTGGAAACAGAGCGGCGACAGCCTACGTGCATCTAAAACACCATCCTTTTCCTCCTAGACCTGCTTTCATTGTCCTTCTCGCCCTTCCTTCACCCTCCTAGTTGTCCTCCTCCTAGTCCTCCTACTCTACTCCGGCTCTGCTCCTCCTAATTGTCCTCCTCCTCACCCTCCTCGATATAAAGCGAACTTCCGTTTTTTACGGCGGTATGAAAAAAACGACCGCATAAAACGGCAGTTTTTTTGCACCAGTCAGAAAACACCACTTGTAACCGTTTTAATCGTATTAAACGGCCGTTATATATGGTAAAAAAAAGTAAAAAACGCCGTTTTTTTGCACCTTGCCATGCACCACCCACCCACGCCACACCCCATGCACCCACCCACCCCCTATGCACCCACCCACACCCCATGCACCCCATGCACCCACCCACGCCCCATGCATTCATCCAGATGGCCCGCCCCCACCTGCACGCCTATCATGGGAGCAGCTGCTGCTATCCGGGGGTCCACCATGGCAGCCAGCCACGCTACCATGCCTGGGGGCGCAGGGAGAGAGGGCGTAGCGATGATGCCAGGAATCGAAGGCTCAGGATGAGGCACCGCTAAGGGGGTGCCTCCTGTGGCAGCCAGCCATGCAAGCATGCCTGAGAAAACAGGAAGGCAGGAATTTGAGAGGCGTGATGGGGAAAGCGAGCTATTTGAGAATGGCAATCTGCGAGCAGCTGGCAGAAGTGCACAAGATGACGCACAGCAAGGGGTGAGAGCACACGCAGACCCCCAAGCGAGACGCCTGTGGTTCCGATTCTAAAGGGTGAACGCTGTCGGTGTTAGCAGCTGCTAGGTGCTGGGTGGCGCATGGGACGACGGTCAAAGGGGGATGGGCGCCCACGCGTACCGCCGAGGGAGACACCCGTGATTCCAATGCGCGAGCAGTCGATGATATCGGTGTGAGCGGCTGTAAGATAATCCAGCAGGCGAAGCACGTCCCACACCTGGAGAAGGGTGTGTGGGGCGAGGGAACGAGACGAGGTGTGTGGGGCGAGGGAAGGAGAAGAGGTGTGTGGGCCGAGGGAACGAGACGACCACGTGGCTCGGTGTGCACCTGTGTTCCAGCATACCACACAAGCGAAAGGGCGCAGTACGATTCGGAGAATGCTCTGTCAGATGGAGTGCTTTGCTGTATGGAGTGCACGCATCCCATCCAGCAGAGATGAACGGTAAAGAAGAGGAAAGATGAAGTGGACTTCATGACAAACTTTGTTGGGCTGGATATGAATCGCATCTGAAGGTGCCACACCTGAAAAAGCACCTGACAAAGCACATGATAAAACACCTGACAAAGCACCTGACAAAGCATGGGAAAAGGCAGCTGAAGGAAACAATACGACACACCAGGACGAGCACATGAAAGGCGCAAGAATGAATACGTGGAAACGCAGGCACTCTTAAAAGCAACAGAGAAACAACCTGGTAAATCTGGAAAAACACCTGAAATGCACCTGTCAAGTACCGGATCAAAGAGGAACGGCATTTCCTGTCCGGTCCTCCACGCCTTGACCAACGCCTGCCGGTCCGAGACAGGGGAGCAACGAGACGAGCGGTGGGAGAGGGGACGGGGCAACGGAGGGGAGGCGTAGGGAAGGAATAAGAGACGCCCTCATTGCTGCTCCAAAATAAGCTGGTGCCACATCCCTTCCCCATGGATACAACCTCTCAGCCATAGCTCCACTCTCCAGGAGCTGGGTTTTATGCGGCAAGACCAGCACGCACAAAAGCTCCTAAGTTGTTTTCACCTTTAATCGATCCCAGGAGAAATTAAAAGCACACTATGGCAGCAAAAATGGGGAACTAGCTATTCATCGCCCATTCAAGGATCCACAGTTTTAAACCATTATCCCAGTCTCCAAAGCTACCCTTTAAGCAGTTCTGGTCACATGGCATGCAAGTAGAAGGTGGCAGTTGGAGGAGGTGCGCGTTCAGACGCACACCACGGCCGCACCACTGCGGCGGTCCTCCCTGTCCACTGCATCGCCACCCATTCCAGCATCCCGCCGACGACAGGCATGCAGCGTGCAGCTAGGGTGCACGCACGCATTGTGAAGCGCCTCATATCAGATCAGATGAGATGAGATCAGATCATCCATACTTCCTTCAAGAATCCGCGCAGCAACACCTGTGGGCATCAAGTCGCATGCAGCACATACATCGGAGTATGCAGAAGGGGAGGACGCACGAGCGCCATGGTAGCGGTTGTCACACGTGATGGCAACGAAACCTAGACACGCTATCTCCTGCAAAGGGTGGAATCAGGGGGAAGGGGATGGGGGGGGAATAAGCAAGGGGACGGAGGGTGGGGGGGGAGAGGAGGAGTACGTGACATGGCATGGCATGGAAGCACGGGCGCCATGGTAGCAGATGTGCCATGTGATGGCCACGAGGTTGAGACGCGCCACCTCCTGCAACGGGTGAACGGACGGGACGGGACGACGGGCATGGATGATGACGTGGAGTGAGGGGCAACGATGATGACGTGGAGTGAGGGGCAGCGATGATGACGTGGAGTGAGGGGCAACGATGATAACGTGGAGTGAGGGGCAACGATGATGACGTGGAGTGAGGGGCAACGATGATGACGTGGAGTGCGCAGGAGACATGGCACGGAAGGCGAGCAGGAGACATGGCACGGAAGCCAGAGCACGTGGGAGCATCTCCTGCGAGGAAGGGAGGGGTGATGATACAGCCTTGGGGTTCACGGCGCGTCAAACGTAGAGAGTGGGGCATTCGGGTGGGTGGGTGGATAAATGCATGCAGACACGACCATGCATGCAGACACGACCATGCATGCAGACACGACCATGCATGCAGACACGACCATGCATGCAGACACGACCATGCATGCAGACACGACCATGCATGCAGACACGACCATGCATGCAGACACGACCATGCATGCAGACACGACCATGCATGCAGACACGACCATGCATGCAGACACGACCATGCATGCAGACACGACCATGCATGCAGACACGACCATGCATGCAGACACGACCATGCATGCAGACACGACCATGCATGCAGACACGACCATGCATGCAGACACGACCATGCATGCAGACACGACCATGCATGCAGACACGACCATCCATGCAGACACGACCATGCATGCAGACACGACCATGCATGCAGACATGACCATGTGCAAGCACAGAAGCACGCAGAGCAAGGTGAGACAGGGAGTGGAGCAGGAGGCAAGCAAGTGGCCTTCAATCAAGCGTGAGTCTGTGCCTGCTGGCATGCGCTAGTTGCAGACCGGCACAGCATGAGCAGTCATGCCGCTTTGTCAAGCGCAGGCAGACCGGCACACAAGAGATGAAATCCAAGGCAGACCGGCACACAAGAGATGAAATCCAAGGCAGACCGGCACACAAGAGATGAAATCCAAGGCAGACCGGCACACAAGAGATGAAATCCAAGGCACGGCCAGCTGGAGGCCACGAGCAAATTCTTTACTCGTGAGAGATCTGAGGCGGACGCAATAGCAGGCGGGCACCAACCTTCTGCTTCTCCAGCAGAGCCTCCTTGCTCTTATTCGTGCTGTGCAGCAGAATCACTGCTGCCCGCTTCTGCTGATGCTGCTGCTCATTGTTCTCTGGTATAAGCAGACTCACTAAAGTGACAGGCATACGGCCCTGCTCTCCCTCCTGTAGCATGCACTTGTGAGTGCGTGGTGGGGGAGAGGGGGAACGGGGGGGGTGCGGGGGTGCGTGGGGGTGGGAGAGAGGGTGGACGGCAACAGGAGACGAGGACATGAAGTGGGAGCATGGAGAGCAAGGAGAGGAAGAAGAAAAAGGAGAGAAAGGACAAGACGGCTGCAAAAAAGGAGAAGCAAAGAGACATGGAGGGGGGGCACGTGCAACAGCATCGTGTTTTGAGGAACGTTCGAAATCAAGCGAGTGGCAGTGAGGATGCGATACAAACTGTTTCCCTCAATCAGACCTCCGCGCATGCCAAGGGCAATGCAGCAATGCCATGCATGTCATGTGCTGAGCGCGCACCTCTGTCACCAACTCAACATCTTGGTACAGAAGGGTCCGGCCGTCTGAGAGGGGGTGATGCGAGGCGGGGAAGGGAGGGAGGGATGAGGTGCAGAGAAGGGAGGGAATGGAAGGGGGGGAGGTGAGGGGCGGAGAGAGGGGGTGAGAGGAGCAAGTGGTTGACAGTCACGCTTCTGCAGAGAGAAAGGGAAGGAGGTGCAGACGTGAGAGGAGGCAGGGGGGGAGATGAGAAGGAAAATGAGAGGTGGGAAGCATGAGAGGTGGGAAGCATGAGAGGTGGGAAGCATGAGAGGTGGGAAGCATGAGAGGTGGGAAGCATGAGAGGTGGGAAGCATGAGAGGTGGGAAGCATGAGAGGTGGGAAGCATGAGAGGTGGGAAGCATGAAACGAAAGTGCATGTGAGGGAGGCAAGCGACACATGCGGGACACCTTCTCAAGGCCGGTTCTAAGTCCTGCTACCACCCTTCCTACCTACCATCACCTTCGTTTGGTCACACTCCAACCATCACCATCCCACCATCACCTCCCCACCACCACCCTGCGTACAATCGCACCTGGCAGTATCTGACTGCTCTCCTGCCAGCTCGCCTCCAAAAAACCTGGAGCTGCAGCCAATAGCAAAGGAGAGAGACACGTGGCATAGTCCGTGTGAATTCTGTGATAGCATGATGGGATGATGGCATAATGGCATGATGGGATGACGGCATGATGGGATGATGGGATGATGGCATGATGGGATGATGGCATAATGGCATGATGGCATGATGGCATGATGGCATAATGGCATGATGGGATGATGGCATGATGGCATGATGGCATGATGGGATGATGGCATTGAGACGTCTCAGAAACCATGCAGTCCAAAGAGGAGGGCGCCAGATTGAGGCGTGGCGTGGCGTGGCGTGGCGTGGCGTGACACTGGTAGCGCTGGGGGCAGGACGAACAGATATTGACACATGCCATTCAAACGCACACCACGTGCATCGCTCTAATGCATTGTTTGCTACCATGGGGCATTCCCGTGCTACCATGGGGCATTCCCGTGCTACCATGGGGCATTCTCGTGCTACCATGGGGCATTCTCGTGCTACCATGGGGCATTCTCGTGCTACCATGGGGCATTCTCGTGCTACCATGGGGCATTCTCGTGCTACCATGGGGCATTCCCGTGCTACCATGGGGCATTCTCGAGCTACCATGGGGCATTCTCGTGCTACCATGGGGCATTCCCTGAAGGAAATAGCTTGGAAGAGAAAAGATTGGTTGAGTAGGGAGCCAAGAGGCTCTTTTGTACAAAACAAGGAGCAAGGAAGACTTGGAAGGGAAGCTCTCCTATTGGCCATAAAGTGGACCAATGGGAGAGGCTGCTTGTAGGGCAAGCAACCACAAAGTGTGGTGCTTGGTGATTGGTTGGTTCCTAGGACCAAGGACCATTTGGTTGGAATAGTGCCAACCAAATGTCTAGGACCAAATCCAATCTTGACCAACCCAAATGTGGGGTTGGTCAACCCAACCAACAACCCCCCAATATTTATAATGACTACACCTCCTAATCTAGGCATGCATGTTGTATAGATATATATTTTACAACACAACCCCCCAACATGCATAAGACTAGAGGGCTTGAATCAGGAGGCGGACGAGGGAACAGGGGGAGCGAGTCCAAGAAGGCGAAGGAGGGATGAGTGGGCGGCGTGGGGGAGGGCTTTGGTGAAGATGTCGGCAAGATTGGCAGCAGAGTCAATCTTGCCCAGTTGGAGGTGGCCACCCTGCACAAGCTCGCGAATGACGTAGTGGCGGAGCTCAATGTGCTTGGAGCGCCCGTGGAACACGGCATCCTTCGTGAGGTGGATGGTCGCACCAGATGGTGGGACAGCGCTGAGGGGCACCAAGCTCCTCAAGAAGGAAGGAGAGCCAGCGGGCCTCCTGCGCAGCCATGGTAGCGGCATACAGCTCCGCTTTGCAAGAGGAGAGGGCAATGGAGGAGGAGCGGGTGGAGCGCCAGCTGATGAGGCCACTGCCAAGAGAGAAGCCATAGCCCTGAGAGGAGCGGCGGTCAGGCCTAGAGTCAGCCCAAGAGGAATCAGAGTAGCCATTGAGGAGGGGAGGGGAGGGGCCGCCAAGGGTAAGGACGTAGTCCTTGGTCCTCCTAAGGTAGCGGAGGACACGCTTTGCCGCTTGCCAATGGGCGGCATCATGCTTGCCGGTACCAACGAAGCGGGCCAAAACGCTGATGGGGTATGCCAGGTCAGGGCGGGTGGAGACCATGGCATACATGAGAGAGCCGATGAGCTCAGCGTAGGGGTGAGAGGAGGAGGGGGAGGTGAGGGGAGTGAGGTGGTGCCCAACAGGAAGAGGGGTGACCTGAGGGGTGCCTCGAGCCATGTCGAACCGCTCCAGGACCTGCTGCAGGTAGTGGCCCTGGGAGAGGGAGATGGTGCGAGCAGCACGGTCGCGGGTAATCTCCATGCCGAGATAGTGCTGCAGCTCCCCTAGATCCTTACACTTGAGCCGGCCGCCAAGATCACGCTTGACGTGCTCGAGCTCGGCGGAGTCGGCAGTGATGAGGATCATATCGTCGACATAGACGAGGATGTAGAAGGGGGAGGGGGAGGTGCGGAGGAAGAGGCTGGGGTCGGCGCGGGAGGTGCTGAAGCCAAGCTCCGCGAGGGTGGCAGCAAGCTTGGCATGCCACTCCCTTGGTGCCTGCTTGAGCCCATAGACTGGTCGACGCAGCTGCCAGACAGAGTCGGAAGGAAAGGGGAGGTGGAAGCCTACAGGACGCTCCATGTAAATGAGCTCGCGCAAGACCCCTTGGAGGAATGCGTTGGAGACGTCCATGGAGTGAATCTCCATGTTGAGGCGAGCTGCGAGGTCAAGGACTGCGCGAATGGTAGCGGGCTTGGCGGTGGGAGAGAAGGTGTCGAAGAAGTCGACAGCGTAGCGCTGGTTGAAGCCCTTGGCGACGTAGCGGGCCTTGTAGACCGGCGGCTCACCAGGAAGCTGCTTCACCCGAAACACCCACTTCCCTTTGACCACGTTCGTGGTAGAGGGAGGGCGGGGCACATCCACAAAGGAGGAGTTGGCAATAAACGCCTCCAACTCCTTGAGGATGGCCGCGAGCCAGAGGTGAGCGTCAGGGCACGCCATGGCCTCCTCGTACGTGGCGGGGACGAAGATGGTGGGGGCGAAGGAGAAGGCGAAGACTGGTGTGCCGCTGGGGTCAGGGGAGATGGGTAGGAGGGCTGGATCATGTAGGTGGAGGTTGAGGAACTCCTCATGGGAGTCCTCGAGGAGGGAGGAGTGGAAAATGAATGGGAGGACTGCAGCTGCTGCGGCTGCTGCTGCGGAGGATACATCTGCTGCTGCTGCTGCTGAGGCGGCTGCTACTGCTGCATCTGCTGCCGCCGCTGCTGCTGCTGCGGGTGAAGGCGAGGAAGGAACGACGGCTGCTGCTGCTGGTGGTGCTGCTGCTGGTGCTGCTACGGTGGGTGGAACTGCTGCTGCAGTTGTTGCTGCTGCTGTTGGGACTGCTGTACTAGAGCTCGACGACAGGGTTGGGCTAGTGTTTTGTTGTAAGACTGTCTGTAAAAGGAGGTCCATGAGAGGGGAGAGAGGAGGCAAGGTAGAGGAAGAGAGGATAACAGGAGGCGGGGCACCTAGGACTGCGTCACGCGACCTGGTGTGGGGATACCGGGTGAGGATGGAGCAGGTGGGACGCAGGGGGGGAGGGGGTCGGGGGGGACAGGGGGAGGAGGGGAGGGGGGAGGATGGGAGGGAGCGGAGGGGGAGGAGTGGGACGGGGAGGCGGGGGGAAAAAAAGGGTCAGGGTCAAATATGTCACCACAGGAGGGAGGAGCACTAGGGACCGAGGCAGCGGGGAATGGAGGAGGTGGAGCGGGGGGGAGGATGGGAGGGGGAGGGAGAAGAGGGGGTGGGATAGTGTCGGACCACGTGAGGGGCCTGGGAGCAGGGGCGAGAGGGTCAGTGGGGGGAGGAGTGGAATAGTAGGGTGTGGACTCATCAAAGACTACATCCCGACTGCGGAGGAAACGACCTGAGGGGGGGTGAAGGAAGAGGTAGTCCGGGGAGGAGGGATTATGACCAAGGAAGATGCAAGGGAGGGTACGGGAGGCGAGCTTTCCCATGGTGCGGGGGCGGTCCGCAGGGTGAATGAGGACATACGCCCTGGAGCCCCACACACGGAGGGAGGAGACGTCAGGCTTGGCCAACGTCCAGAGCTCGGTGGGAGTGGTGGAGGGAAGAATAGGGTGGGGGTATAGGTTAGTAAGGAGGGTGGCGTGAAGGAGGGCATAGCCCCACAGAGAAGGGGGGCAAGAGGCATGGACGAGGAGACACCGAGCAATCTTGGTGATCTCCCGAACACGGCTCTCGGCCACACCATTCTGCTGGGGGGAGTGGGGGAGGGTTTGAGTCTGGCGAATGCCATGAAGCTCACAGTAGGAGGCTACCTGTCGATTAAGGAATTCGCCACCGCCATCAGAGTGAAGGCGGCGCACAGGGCGGCCAAAGTGGGTGCTCGCCTGCTTGAGCCAGGCGATGATCGCAGCCGGAGCGTCACCCTTCGAGCGAAGAAGGGAGACGGACGAATATCGGCTGTGATCATCGACCAGAACAAGCATGTAGCGATGGCCCTGGCGGGAAGGGGAGGGGTTGGGGCCCCAGAGGTCCATGTGAACAAGATCAAGCGGCTGAGCAGCAGCGGAGGGGGAACTCCGATGCGGCAGCTGCTTGAGCTTGCTCTGGACACAGACGGAGCAGGGAGGGGCAAGGGAGGGAGGGAGGGGAGGGAGGGTGAGGGGAAGACCTCGAAGGAGACCTGAGGAGACGGTCGAGCGGAGGGTGGCAAAGTTGGGGTGACCAAGCCTGTGGTGGAGGAGGACGGTGGGATGGGAGAGGGATCGACAGGAGCAGGTTGGGTCAGGGGGGAGGGGGGGAATGGTTGGGTTAGAAGGAGGGAGAGGAGGGGGAGGGATGTGAGGTGGGGGGAGGGAGTGGGAGACTGCCTGGGCAGAGGGAAGACGAGAAACTCGAAGGGTATATAGGCGGGAGCGAGGACAAAAGGGAATACGGGAGAGGAGGAGACCTGTGGGATGGTATAGGAGGCAGTGATTAGCGCGACCTGGGAAGACGGTGGTGATACCAGCCTGCTGAAGGGATCGCTGGGAGAGGAGGTTAGTACGGAGGGAGGGGATGTGTAAACCAGTGACGGTACCTAAGGGGAAGAGGGGACAGGGGAGGGTAGAGGTGTGGCGACAGGGAATAGAGAAGCTGGAATCGGCACCAAGGAGGGAGGTGGGGGCTGGGAGGGGGTGAAGGGTACCAGCATCACGAAGGACGGACTCGGTGGCTCCACTGTCAAGGACAAAGTCCAGCGTGGTGGAAGGGGGAGGATGTGGGGGAGGAGGTGGGACGGAGTACTGAATCACATTCTCATTAATAGCAGCCGAATACATAGAAGGGGCGGGGGTTCCAGTCTGACTAACCATGCCAACAAAACCAGAGGAGGGGAAAGGAGTCACACTGCCTGTGGCTGAGGGCGCGGGAGACGCGCCCGAGAGGTGAGCTGCGGAAGCGGCGGTGCCGGCGGTCCAACGGGGTAGGGCTGCTGGGGGGGAGCCATAGGAGGAGGTGCAAGGGGGAGCTGCGACTGGAGGTCAAGCTGCTGCTGCAACTGGGAGAAGAGGTGCTGCTGCCCCTGCTGCTGCTGCTGCTGGAACTGCTGCTGCTGCTGCTGCTGCTGAAACGGCTGCGGCAGGATTTGCTGCGGAGTCTGCTGCTGCTGCTGTTGCTGAGAGACGGCCTGGTGGGCCAAGGGGGAGGAGACGGGCTGGAAAAGAGGGGAGGTACGAACCTCTTGAGGAGTGGGGCGAGGGGAGAGGGAGGACCAGCGGGGGGGGGTGCCGGTGTTGCCGCGGGCAAACCACTCATCACTGAGCGCTTTGAAGCAAGAGTCAGTGGCATGAGTGGTCTGGCCGCATCGCTGACCCCGCGTGGGGCCATAGCGAGGGAGATACTGACAAGGAGGAAAGGCGGCTGCTGCACCACGTCCTGCGCCGTTGCCACCACGACCCGCACCACCACCACGACCAGCGCCACGCCCACCCCCGCGCCCTCCCCTGGTGTTGCGCTGCTGAGCAATAGCGGCAGTTGAGGAGGAATGGCGCAAGAGGTCGGCTTCGGTGGTGATAATCCACTGGGCGACTTCAGCTGGAGTGATGCGCTTGTCGATCAGCTGCATGTAGGCGATCTTATGGGTGTCGAAGGCAGGAGTCAAGCCTTCAAGGAGGTGGCAGCAGAGCACTGGGTCCGGGTACGGCACGTCAAGAGCCGCCAGGCGCCGAGCAAGGTCGAGGACGCGATGCGTGAAGGCAGCTGCGCCGGTGGTAGAGTCCATGGTGAGGCTCTGGAACTCCTTGATGAGGGAGTAGAGGGTGGCAACGTCCTGCCGATCATAGAGATCGGTGAGGAGGCGCCAGAGGTGGGAGGAAGAAGTGGGAGCAAGCTCGCACTTGAGGGTGGGAGGAATGGTGGCGAGGAGGACGGTGAGCGCGCGCCGGTCAGCGACACGCCAGGCGGCGAGGTCGGTGATGTATGCGCGCTCGCGCCTGACGTACTCCGCGAGCTCCGCCTGATACGTGTTGTAGGCGGTAGTGGCGGCGTCATGCTCGGCGCGGGAAGCCTCGAAGAGCAGCTGCTGGCGGACGTGGTCGGTGAGGCCGGCACGGTAGGTGCGAATGGCGGTCTCGGAGCTCTGAGGGTCGTTGACGTCAGGGGCGAAGGTTGGAGGATCGCCAGGGCTGACGGGAGCATCGCCAGGAGGAGGAGGTGGAGGGCCCGCGGGAGCAGTCGGCTGGGCAGGCTGAAGACCGCGCTCCTCGAGATGGACAACGGCTTTCAGGTTGTAGCCGTTGACCGTCACCGAGGAGAGAAGCACCGTGACGGTTTGGGCATAGGAATGCCAATTGACCGCGGTGTTGTCGGGCAGCAGCTCAAGAGCGTCGACGAAGGTAAGGTCCACCGAGGAATCGGACGCCATTGAGGAGGAGGAGGGGAAGGAAGGGGGGGGGGGGGGGGGGGGGAGGAGGAGAAGGAAAGGAGGAGGAAAAAGGAAAGGAGGAAGAGAAGGAAAGGAGGAGGAAAAGGAAAGGAGGAGGAAAAGGAAAGGAGGAGGAAAGGGAAAGGAGGAGGAAAGGGAAAGGAGGAGGAAAGGGAAAGGAGGAGGAAAGGGAAAGGAGGAGGAAAGGGAAAGGGAAAGGAGGAGGAAAGGGAAAGGAGGAGGAAAGGGAAAGGAGGAGGAAAGGGAAAGGAGGAGGAAAGGGAAAGGAGGAGGGAAGGGAAAGGAGGAGGGAAGGGAAAGGAGGAGGAAAGGGAAAGGAGGAGGAAAGGGAAAGGAGGAGGAAAGGGAAAGGAGGAGGAAAGGGAAAGGAGGAGGAAAGGGAAAGGAGGAGGAAAGGGAAAGGAGGAGGAAAGGGAAAGGAGGAGGAAAGGGAAAGGAGGAGGAAAGGGAAAGGAGGAGGAAAGGGAAAGGAGGAGGAAAGGGAAAGGAGGAGGAAAGGGAAAGGAGGAGGAAAGGGAAAGGAGGAGGAAAGGGAAAGGAGGAGGAAAGGGAAAGGAGGAGGAAAGGGAAAGGAGGAGGAAAGGGAAAGGAGGAGGAAAGGGAAAGGAAGGAGGAGGAAAGGGAAAGGAGGAGGAAAGGGAAAGGAGGAGGAAAGGGAAAGGGAAAGGAGGAGGAAAAGGAAAGGAGGAGGAGAAGGATAGGTGCGCGGAGCGCAGCTCTTAAGTCGCCGACGCGCTCCAAGGAGGGATGCGGCGACGGACGGCCGCGCGCGGTCGGCGGAAGCGACGACGGACAGCCGCACACGACGGCGACGAAATCGGCGACGGCTGCGGCGGCGAGCACGTTCGCGATGAACGGATTCGTCGGCGGGTGCACGCGAGTGCCGCGACGAACAGGCGGGTGGTGCGAGAGCGCGACGAACGGGTGCGCGCGGTGGCAGAGGGCGCACGACGGGAGGACGCGACGACGAACCGCGCGAGGAGGAAAAGGGCGTCGAAAGACGCGAGGGGAGGTGCGCAACGGAAGGGAGAGCGGGCGCGATAGGAGGTGCGCGACGGGAGAGAGAGTGTGCGCGATGGGAGATCGCGTCGGGAGAGGGCGCACGGACGGCGCGCGAAATAGCCTAAGAAAGGCTAGGCTTCGATGGCGAGGAGGGACGGCATAGGGCCGTGCTAGTTAGGATCGACTAGAGGTGGCGTGAGCCATTGTGGCTCTGAATCCCATGAAGGAAATAGCTTGGAAGAGAAAAGATTGATTGAGTAGGGAGCCAAGAGGCTCTTTTGTACAAAACAAGGAGCAAGGAAGAGTTGGAAGGGAAGCTCTCCTATTGGCCATAGAGTGGACCAATGGGAGAGATTGCTTGTAGGGCAAGCAACCACAAAGTGTGGTGCTCTCTGATTGGCCACAATGTGGACCAATGAAAGAGATTGCTTGGAAGGCAAGCAACCACAAAGTGTGGTGCTTGGTGATTGGTTGGTTCCGAGGACCAAGGACCATTTGGTTGGAATAGTGCCAACCAAATGTCTAGGACCAAATCCAATCTTGACCAACCCAAATGTTGGGTTGGTCAACCCAACCAACAACCCCCCAATATTTATAATGACTACACCTCCTAATCTAGGCATGCATGTTGTATAGATATATATTTAACAACACTAGGTGCATGGATACATACATTAAGCTTCATCAGCTATTTTCAAGAGCATGTTGATTGAACCGATTGCATCAATTTTGTTAAATAAAAAGAGAAGAAAACCTGGTGACTTTTGGGTCGACTGAAAAGTCACGTCCTAAGAGAAAGAAAACCTGGTTGCGTCTTGGTAACGGAGCTCACGATTGAAGCTGCTCCAAGATCCCCTTCCATTCACCCTGTCCTGCCTTTGTGCAATCCCTCCCTCCCAGCTCTCCCAAGCTCTTGGGTTCTCAGATACCCAGCATCTGCTGCTGCACCATGCTGCTGCTGTGGAGGCGATGGGTTGGGAGAGCGAGGAGAGCATGGGGCAAGGAAGAGACGAGCTGACCTTTGATTCGACTCAAAATCACGTGCTGCTGCACCATGCAGCCGTTGTGGAGGCTGTTGGATGTGAAGGCGAGGAGAGCATGGGGCACAGAAGAGACGAGGCACTGGAGGGTGCAAGCGAGGAGAGGTTGGGATTGGAGAAGGAGGAGACGGTGGGATGGGAGAACGAGGCGAGGGTGGGGAGGCTGGCAGAGGATGGAGCACGTGCTGATGCTGTTGCTGATGGCAGCACCTCATGGCAGCCCCCCTCACAGACTTCTCCCAGCCAAGCCATAGCACCGCTAGCAGCAGGCCCAGCAGCAGCTGAAGCAGCACAAGCAGCACCGCCACAAGCAGCACCACAAGCAGTACCGCCACCACCTGTAGGAGTTGCAAGAACTGCAAAAGCAGCAGCAGCAGCGCCTGGAGGCACATGGCACAGGCAAGCAGAGGCAGCAGAGGCAGCAGAGGCAGCAGAGGCAGCAGAGGCAGCAGAGGCAGCAGAGGCAGCAGAGGCGGCAGAGGCAGCAGAGGCAGTGCGGCATAGAGGGGAGGTGTGGGGGGGAAACACGCAGTGGGAGACAGGGGTTGAGGTTTGGAAGGGTTCTAGGGGAGGAGAGGGGGTAGGAGCAGGTGACACACATTCAACCGTCCAGCAACAGTTTGGCTCTACTCAGCAGCGGTTTGGCTCTGGTGCGGAGCAGCCGCATTCCTCTCAGCGTTCCCACTCTGCCACCTCTTCCCAAACTGCTCTGTCTGCTCCTACTCTCGGCTCTCCTTCTGCTCCTTCTGCTCCTTCTGCTCCTTCTGCCCCACATGCTTCTTTCGCTGCGATGCGTTCGGAGAGGCAGCAACGTGCCATGCGAGCAGCTGCCGCTCTTGCCCGCGCCGCCACACAAACCTCCGCCGCACCCGCCACCACCACCACCTCTACCTCCGCTGCTGCTGCTGCGTCCTCTCGCCTCTCAGTCCCTCCGTCCACACCTCCTCCCTCCACTGCCCCTCCTCCCTCTGCTGCTCCTCCCCCCTCCCCCTCTACCCCTCCCAGTCTTCCCGAGTCCGACCCACAAGCACCACCCCCTCCCTCCTGGCCCTCTGACAGCCACAGCCCTTGGTCTTGGAATCGAGCCACAACCGTTCGGCAAGAAGCAGCTCGAGTTACCGTTGTTAGGCAGGATGTGGGGCAAGTGTCAGTGCAACGGGTCGAGCGGTTTTTTTTTAGGCGATAGGGTAGGGAGTCAAGAGTTGGGCCAAGGGATAGAGGCAGTGAGCACAGAATCCCTCGAACTCTATACTGGTCTTTCCGAAGCTGATGCTTCCCCGCATCCTGCCGTGGCTGCCCTGCTGGCTCGGTGGCGTCAGCCCTATCTTGGCTCGGTCTGCTTTGAGAACCGGCCGGAGCTGAAGCTGCCGAGCCTGGGTGAGGCTCGGGAAGCAGGCACGGGAGCTGTGGATCTGGTGGGGGAAGCAGAGGGGGGGAAGATGGGAGGTGAAGGTGGAGGGGTGAGAGGTGTGAGGGAGCTTGGGGCGGTTGACGTGGAGGATGATGATTGGGTAGAGGGAGGGGAGGATGAGGAGGAAGAGGAGGAAGAAGGGGATGTAGAAAGTAAAGAGGAGGGGGAGGAGGAGGAAGATGAAGAGGATGAGGAGGAGGGAGTGGAATGGGTGAGAGCAATGGGAGAGGAGGAGGTGGAAGAGGTAGAAGAGGAGAGCGATGTTGAAATGCCAGTCATGGCACTGTGGGAGGCTGACAGCAGTGCACGGGCTGAGAGCAGCGCAACAGGCAGAGGGGCGTCCAGGAGGGGAAGGAGAAAGAAGACTCTTGAGGCGAATGAGGAAGCGATTGAAGCCAGTGAGTGGATGCAGGAGGGCAAGGGTGAGGTGAATGAGACTGGTGGGTGGATGGGGGAGGCAGGCCGAGATGTGGGGGGAGCGGATGAGAGCGCAGGTATTGTCAGTGGGGCGATGGAGACTGGGGGTAGCAGCAGGGCGCGAGGAGCGAGGGGGAGGAGGAAGGCAGCGGATGTAAGCACTGAAATGGGGGGTGACTTAGCTGCTGTCGGGGAAATGGGGGGCAAATCGGTGTACAGAAGCCAGAGTACTAGGCACCGTGGCTGGTGGTGCTGCAGACACGTATCTGGACTCGCGTGCAGGTGATGCAGCGGAGCAGGTGGGGTGGCTGGAGACGCCGTTGCTGGGCCTGGCGAAGCGCAGCGGGGGCGTGCTGACTCACGGGCAGGCGAGGAAGCTGCAGGAGGGTGGGCTGTGGACGGTGCGCCACCTGCTGGAGCACTACCCGCACACTTACCTGGACCTGTCGCGGAGCAAGGAGGATGTGATAAGAGACATGCAGGTGGCTGCTGTTGGCGTGGTTGAAAGTGTCAAGTGAGTGGCTGTTTGGGTATGTTACTGTGAATCTGTTGCTGTCAACGTGTTGTATGTATGGCACTACTGGCACCTGCTGGAGCACTACCCACACACTTACCTGGACCTGTCGCGCAGCAAGGAGGATGTGATGAGAGACAAGCACGTGGCTGCTGTTGGCGTGGTGGAGAGCATCACGTGAGTGGTTGGTTGGGCAGGGATTGAGTGAGTGTGTGGTTTGCTTGTTGCATGGCACTGCTTGCACGTGAGGCCCCTGCTGAATCGCTACCTGCACACGTACCTGGATCGGTCGAAGAGCAAGGAGGGTGAAATGAGGGATGGGCAGGGGCTGCTGTTGGCGTGGTGACAGAGTCTGGTGCTGGCGGGTGCTGGCCGGTGCTGGCTGGTGCTGGCGGGTGGTTGGGGGTGCTTGGGGGTGCTTGGGGGTGCTTGGGGGTGCTTGGGGGTGCTTGGGGGTGCTGAAGGGTGCTGAAGGGTGCTGGCGGGTGCTGGTGGGTGAGTGGGAGGCTGGCAGTGGTTGAATGAGTGTGTAATTAGTGTGTCATGTGTGTCATCTAGTGTCTCTTTCTCTGTCCCCCTCGCCTCTATGTCCCTCTGCAGTGTGTACCGCGGTGCCTCCGTCGCTATAGCCGACATCAGGATCCGCTGCAACCTTCCCAACAATGCCGAAACTCCAGCCACCACCACACCCACCCGCAGCAGATTGAGCAGCAGCAGCAGCAGCAGCGGTGGCAGCGGCAGCAGCGGTGGCAGTAAGGGGTTTGTGGTGTCAGCCAAGCAGTTTCGCCCGGGCCAATGGGGTTCCTATGCTCTCTCCAAGGCCTTCACAAAGGGTGCTCTCGTCTCCGTCGCTGGTCAGGTGGGTGGTGGGCGGTGGGCGGCGGGCGGCGGGCGGCGGGCAGTGGGTGGGCATGACGCAATCAAGAAGCTGGTTAAGCATTTGTTGAGAAGCTGCTCCCCCTCTTGCTTATATTCCCCATGCCCACTCTTCGCCCGTTCCCCCTCTCCTCCCCTCTCCTCTCCTCCCTTATCCCCCCTTCCTTGCTTCCCTTTACCACTCACCTCTCCTCTCCTTTCCGTCCCCTCGTCTCTCCACCTCCTAGGTGCACCGTGCTCAACGAGATGGGGTCATAGAGCTGGGCAGGAACAGCGACATAGATGTAGAATATGCCTCTGTGAAGCAGACCTTCTCTGCGTCAACTCAGAGGCAGGCCTTCCCTGACTTCCCCCGTATCCCCTCCCTCTAGGTGCTCTGCATTCAGCGTGATGGGGCCATAGAGCTGGACAAGAACAGCCAGATGTAAAGGTGGACGCAGAGCCAGGCTTGATTCCTGACGCACCTCAATAGCCCCAGGCCCCCGCTCGCTTCTCCCTCCCTAGGTGCTCTGTGTGCAACGAGATGGAGCCTTTGAGCTGGACAAGAACAGCCAGATAGTGAAGGTGGACGCAGGGCCCGGTGCGGAAGCCATGTGGGCGAGCGATGGCGCTGTGCCCGTTTACTCGGCCAAGAAGGAGATGGATCCTCTCGCCCTGCGCGCCATCATTGAGAGGTGCGTGCCTTGCTGTGCGTGGGCAGATGTGCACCCCATGTTGCTGTGCCCATCTACTCAGTTAAGAAAGACATGTGCTGTGATGCCGCTACTGTGAGTGTAGCATGCGCATTGCATGCATGTAGCATGCGCATTGCACACTTGTAGCATGCGCATTGCATGCATGTAGCATGCGCATTGCACGCATGTAGCATGCGCATTGCACGCATGTAGCATGCGCATAGCATACATACAGACTGCTTGCAACGATATATGATGCATGTGCATGGGGAAACGCCCGCTCTCCAACCCCTTCCCCGTCCCCCCCACACAGGTTAATCAAGCGTGAGGAGTCTATTTTTGAGGTGCCTCAAAAATAGACTCTCCAACCCCTTCCCCGTTCCCCCCACACAGGTTAATCAAGCACATCCCTCCAGCGATGGACTATCTCCCCCCCTCCCTCCTTTCTCGCTACAACCTCGTCCCTCTCCCTCTCGCCCTCGCCACCATCCACTGCCCGCCCGACCGCACGCTCCTCCCCGCCGCCCGGCGCCGCCTCGTGTTTGACGAATTCTTCTTCCTGCAGCTGCGCATCCTGCTGCTGCGCCGCCGAATCCAGCTCTGCCACCTGGCAGCCGCATCCGCCGCCGTAGGATCCGCTGAGTGGAATCGGACGGTGCTGAGCGCGGAACACTGGGCTCCCCTCACGCAAGAAATGCTCGCCTCGCTGCCGTACAGGCTCACAGCTGGGCAGATGCAGGCTGCCCGGGAGATAATTTCTGACATGAACCGGCCCGTGCCCATGGCTCGGCTCCTACAGGGCGATGTGGGGTGTGGCAAGACGGTGGTGGCCCTTTTAGCATGCATGGAGGCGGTGGCGCAGGGCTACCAGGTGGCAGTCATGGCTCCCACGCAGTTCCTCGCCCAGCAGCACTACGCGCGCTTTGAGCAACTACTCGAGGCGCTGCCTCCTGCTCGCCGACCGACTGTTTGTTTGTTGACCGCGACGGTGAAACGGGCCAAGGCCGTGCGGCTGGTGAGTGAAGGGGGCCGACTTAATCTCTTGTTCATGGTGTAAGATCTAGGGGGGTGTTAGGTTTCGTAGATTTGGGCTGACAGTCTGAGGATTAGGTTTCAGGGCTTGGGGTTGAAGGGTTTGGGGTTTGGGTTTGGCGTTTCAGGGTTTGGGTCAGGGGTTTGGGGTTGAAAACGGCTGCTCGTTCTACCAAGCCCACCTCTTTCCACCATTTCATGCTGGTCTCTCCGTCATTCCCTCCAGGCCATCAAGGAAGGGCGGACTCTATCGTCATCGGCACGCACGCCCTCATTCCCACCGCCACGCCTTTTCCACCGCCTGAGTCCAAACCAAGTCTCTTTGTACTATCCCCATTGCCTTGTCCCCTCCAGGCCATCAAGGAAGGGCGGGCTCTATCATCATCATAGCATCGGCACGCTGCACGTGCTCATTGCCCACGCATGCACGTGCTCATTGCCCACGCCTGCACGTGCTCTCCTCTCCTCGGCCTCAGTTGCTTGGTGCACTTTCCCCGCCGTTGCCCCCCTGCACTTGCCCTGCTCGCAACAACCCCCCAGGCCATCAAGGAAGGGCGGACCTCTATCGTCATTGACACACATGCACTGATTGCCAAGGGCCAAGGCCACGTCCTTTTCCACCACCTAGGTCTAAGTCTCCTTGTACTACCCTCATCTCCTTGACCATGCCAGGCCATCAAGGAGGGTCGAACCTCTATCGTGATCGGCACGCACGCGCTCATCGCCAAGGCCACTTCTTTCCACCGCCTGGGGCTGGCAATAGTGGACGAGCAGCACCGGTTCGGAGTCAACCAGCGGGCCAGGCTGCAGGAGAAGGTGAGAAGGCATGAGGAGGTGAGGTAGACCTCCTAGGAGAGAGTTGCATGAGACTGAGAGTAGTCTGCGCAAGCAATGGTTGATGCACCCCTGCCCCAACAGCCACAACAGCCACCTCCTTCCATCGCCTGGGCCTGGCCATGGTGGACGAGCAGCACCGCTTCAGAGTCAACCAGCGGGAGACTGCAGGAGAAGGTGAGAAGGCACCAGGTAAAGCACAGGAGGATTGACGGTGTTTGAAGCCAGGAGGTGGGCTGGTCCAGCGTCTCACGAGTCACATCTAACCACCGCATGGGGCTGGCCATTGTGGTCGATGGACGAGCAGCATAGGTTCGGAGTCAACCAGTGGGCCAGACTGCAGGAGAAGGTGAGAGGAATGAGAAGGTGAGAGTAACTGGGGCATGCACGGGCCGATGGATGGAGTTTCAAGGCAGGAGGTGGGTTGTTCCAGCGCCTCACGAGCCGCTTCTTTCCACCGCCTGGGGCTGGCCATCGCGGATTAACCAGAATGCACGTCTGCGCGAGAGGGGGAACGTGCACGAGAAGGAAGCGGCAGCGACACGGAATCAGCTGCTGAATCCGGGAGTGAATTTTCCTCCTCCTCCTCTTCGTCGTCCTCCTCCCCCCTCCCTCTTCTCTCGGAGCCCCACACTCTCACCATGACGGCCATGCTGATCCCCCGTTCGCTCGCCCTTGTGCTGCACGGAGACGCCGACATCTCGCAGATCGCCAAGGGCCGACTCCAACGTGCACGGCGACACCCACATCTTGCAGATCACGGAGAGAGATTCTTGAGGCGACTCAAGTTCACCAGTTTATTTCTCTGCCCCTCCCCCCACGCTCCACTCCCGTGATTCCTGCAGGGTTCTGTGGCTCTCCTCAACAGCCAGCAGCAGGAAGAAGGAAGTGCCAGCGACACCGAATCAGCTGCTGAATCCGGAAGTGAATCCTCCTCCTCCTCCTCCTCCTCCTCCTCCTCCTCCTCCTCCTCCTCCTCCTCCTCCTCCTCCTCCTCCTCCTCCTCCTCCTCCTCCTCCGCCTCTCCCCCCCTCCCCCCTCTCTCGGAGCCCCACACTCTCACTATGACCGCCACACCCATCCCACGCTCACTTGCCCTCGTGCTGCATGGCGACACCGACATCTCGCAGATCGCCGAGCTGCCGCCCGGCCGCACGCCGGTGGAGACCCTTGTCTTTTATGACAAGGAGGGGAAGGGCGGCAGCGAGGGGGAGGAGAGTGATTCGGAGGATGAGGAGGAATCGGAAGCGAAAGAGAGGGCTGTGGCGTACCAGGTGAGACAAGGGAAGAGGGAGGGGGGGGGAAGAGGGAGGGGTGGGGGGGTGAGGGGGCGGGCTAATGGCAAGGTTAATGGCAGTTTGGAGCCTTGCTACTGAGTAACTGAAGGGTGGTCCATTAGGTTCTCCTGGGACCCTTCACCTCACCCGGTCGCTTCTCCTTTCCTCACCTAAAGATAGCTTCTTGAGAATTCTCAAAATCTCAACGCATTCGCTCCTTTTCCGACCTAATGCATTAGGTCGAGTCTTGCGGCCTCTTCCTAATGCAGATTCTCCAGGAAGAGGTCGAGTCTTGCAGCCGGGCCTTCGTTGTCGTCCCAACTATCGACTCTGGAGCAGAGCTTTTCCCCTCCACTCCCAGCCCACCCACCCTGCCATCCCTCCCTCTCCTCTCCTCTCCCGGCATTATCCATATCTGCTGCAGATCCTTCTTTTGAGTCGACTCAAGAACCCTTCCTCTCCCCTCCTCTCCTCTGTGATCCGTGTCTGCTGCAGATTCTTCGGGACGAGGTAGAGTCGGGCGGCCGAGCCTTCATTGTCTTTCCAATCATCGACGCCTCAGAGGAGCTCCCGGGAATCCGGCCAGCCACAGAAGAATTTAAGCTGCTGACCAAACAGGGCGGCCTGCTTGGTCGGCCGTTAAGACCTGGCAGCAGCACTTGCAGCGGTGCTGGCAGTGACAGTGATGGTTGCCCGCACATCCCTAACAGGGGGCCGCATGTTTGGTACAGTGAGGACCCCACTGGTTACGACACAGACCAGTATAACGCCGAGCTGGATGCCATGTACGGTCCTCAATACGATGACCAAGTCTTTGAAATCTCTGATTCTGATGCCGATGGTTCTGATGCCGATGGTTCTGATGGCGCTGATTCTGACGATGATTCGGATGATGAGTCTCTTGGAAGGCTGCGCTGTGGGCTGGTGCATGGGCGGATGGAGCCAGACGAAAAGGACAGCGTCATGCGCAGCTTCCAAGAAGGATCTATACAGGTACGTGCGCAGCTTCCAAGAAGGATCCATACAGGTGCTCCTGGTTTGGTGTTACTTGTTCAAGGGAAGGGGCCGGCAAAAGTGCTCTTACATGTGCTTACATGTGCTCCTGGTGCGGTGCGGGGATTGGGAACAGCAATCGTACATGTGCTGTTCCCTCCACTGGTGCTCGTGTGCTCGATGGTTATAGAGGTGGGGATAGACATTCTCAAGGCAACCGTGGTGCTGGTGCGTCGCGGCACTAGGCTAGGCGCCAATGCACATGCATTCACAAGAATTCTCTCTCATCCGTTCCTGTTCATATGTGTATTCACAGAAGCTCATTTCTTGCAGGAGCGTGCTCGTGTGCAGAATGGTCATAGAGTCGGGAATCGTTTTCCCGAGGCCGCGGTGATGCTGGTGGAGCATGGGGAGCGCTACGGCTTGGCGCGAGATATCAGTGCGCCTACACACAATACTCACACGTGCCCTCGCTTCCTCATTTTGCAGGTGCTCGTGTGCACAACCGTTATAGAAGTGGGCATCGACATTCCCGAGGCCACAGTAATTCTGGTGGAGCACGCAGAGCGGTAGAATCAGTACACATACATTCATTCAAACGCATTGTCCCTTGTCCATTTTCTTCCGTCTACTGCAGGTGCTCGTGTGCACGACAGTGATCGAGGTGGGGATCGACATCCCCGAGGCCACGGTGATGCTGGTGGAGCACGCAGAGCGCTACGGCTTGGCGCAGCTGCACCAGCTGAGGGGGCGGGTGGCAGGGGCCAGCGCAAGTCGCGCTGCCTGCTGGTTGGAAGCTCCAAGAGCGCTCGCCAGAAGCTGAAACTGCTGGAGACATCACAGGTGAGCAGTTTGTTGACGGTGATGGGGGGTGGTGGTTGGTGGGTGATGGGTGGTGGGTGGTGGGTGGTGGAGCATGTGGAGCGGTATGGCTTGGCGTGTTGCACCAGTTGTGGGGGAGGGTGGGGAGGGGCCGCCGAAAGTCACGCTGCTTGCTGGTGGGGAGCTGCAAAAGCGCTCGCGAGAAGCTGAAGCTGCTGGAAACGTAGCAGGTGTGTGGGGGGAGTGGCGAGAGGAGGCGGCTGGGAAGAAAGGAAGAATGCAGAGAGGAAGGAGAGGGGCGAGTGGGGAGAGTGGGGAGAGAGAGGTGCTGTTTGGTACCCCAACATTACGCTTTGCACTCTCCCATTCTCCTCCCCGTTGCCCCTCCAGGACAACCTCAAGCTGGGCCAGCTGGACCTGAATGTGCGCAGGCCAATGAGGCTGCTGGGGAAGAAGCAGCATGTCCCTTTCCTCTCATTTTCATCACGTTCTCCTCCCCGTTACCCCCCATCCCTCCCGTCCTTGCAGGACGGCTTTGAGCTGGCCCAGCTGGACCTCAAGAGGCGCGGCCCGGGGGAGCTGCTGGGGAAGAAGCAGTCCGGGCGGCTTCCAGGGTTCAACCTTGCGCGGCTGGATAAGGACCTGCACATTCTGGAGGACGCGAGGAAGGCTGCCGAGGTGAGTGGGAATGTTAGGGACCGTTGGGGGCTGTGCTGCACAGAGCAAGGGTGTATGCTGGGCTGTTGGGGACTATGGGGGGCTGTAATGCAATGAGAACCCTGCCAGGGCGTGATGGGCGGCTGCCGGGATTCAACCTGGCGCGGCTGGATAAGGATCTGGACATTCTGGAGGACGCGAGGAAGGCTGCCGAGGTGAGTGGGAGTGTGGCAAAACGAGCAGTTGGGGAAATGGCACAGCAATTCAAAGGTTTGGGCAGTTTCAAGTTGCATCGAGTACAGACAAGTTTGGATGCTGCAGGACATGTGCAGCGCTGGCTGTTAATATCACAGGTGCTGAATTGAGTGGGCGGTTAACTTTGTCACTTATGCATCTGTTCCCCCTGTCTGACCATGACTAATTTCTCCAGTGATCCCATCTCTTCTCCTGCACATCTCTGCCCTGGCACTGCCCCTTTATAGGAAGTGGTTGAATTGAGTCAAGGCACTGGAGAATTGGACCCGGCACTTGCTCAAGAGTTGCGAATTCGCAACCCTTTGTATGCTTCAACCCAATGATAGTGAATATTTGTGTTACGAAGGTAGCTTGCATAGGGCGTATTCCTACGGAGTTGGATCCGGAAAAAAATAGGATCCAACGCGCACGGTACAGTGCGGTGCGAGTGTTGTCATGCACATTTGAGGGCGGTTCAGCTTGGTAATTCACTTGCGGATCCAGCATTGTCTGCATAGACCATTAGGACGTAAGTTGATAATACCCTTTGTGTGTGGTGGACTAGCGTCTTTTGTTGATAAATTCCTGAACATGCATAGGTTTGAAGCAAGGTTGCTCGCATCGCATGCATAGACAATCAGCCTCAAATCGCAGAAATACAGGTGTGTACCTCTGCATCTAAGACTTTGGTGGCTTTGTCAACTTATACATATTATCTATGTAGAAGTTATAGGCTAGACTGAGGTATGCTTCTAGTGAGTACAACCAACTAGTATTTGTTCTAGGTTTCCACCTCTAGTAATCATTCGTTTCTACGTTAACATGGTATCACGCTTAGGTTAGGATCCCCCCGCCTACCGCTTCCGCCCGTCGCGCCTCCTAGGCCCCGTCGCGCCCCCTAGGCCCCGTCGCGCCCCCCCTGGGCCCCGTCGCGCTCGTTAGGCCCCGTCGCGCCCCCCTGGGCCCCGTCGTGCCCGCTGGGCCCCGTCGCGCCTCCTAGGCCCCGTCGCGCTCCCCCTAGGCCCCGTCGCGCCCGCTGGGTCCCGTCGCGACCCCTAGGCCCTAACGCGCCCCCGCTGGGCCCCGTTGCGCCTCCTAGGCCCCGTCGCGCCCCCCATGGGCCCCGTCGAGCCCGCTGAGCCCCGTCGTGCCTCCTAGGCATCGTCGCGCCTCCTAAGCCCCGTCGCGTCCCCCCCCTCTGGGCCCCGTCGCGCCCGTTCGGCACCGTCGCGCCCCTCCTAGGCCCCGTCGCGCCCGCTGGGCCCCTTCGCGCTTCCTAGGCCCCGTCGCGCCTGCTAGGCCCCGTCGCGCCCCCCCCTGGGCCCCGTCGCGCCCGTTAGGCCCCGTCGCGGCCCCCCTGGGCCCCGTCGTGCCCGCTGGTCCCCGTCGCGCCTCCTCGGCCCCGTCGCGCCCCCCCTGGGCCCCGTCGTGCCCGCTGGGCCCCGTCGCGCCCCTTAGGCCCCGTCGCGCCCGCTGGCCCCTGTCGCGCCTGCTGTTAGCGCTCGCCCGCCTGGCCTCCTCCTAGTGCCGCTCGGCTCCTCCTAGTGCCGCCCGGCCTCCTCCTAGTGCCGCCCGGCCCCTTCCTAGCGCCGCCCGGCCTCTCCTCAGCGCTGCCCGGCCCCTCCTCGTGCCCGACCGGCCCCAGCAGCACCAGCCTGGCCCCTCCCAGCACCAGCCCGGCCCCAGAGCACCTGCCCGCCTCCCCTGCTCGGCCTGTCGTGTCCTCTCGGGCCCTGTGTCTTCTGCTTGCCTGCGCTGGGACGCCTAGCTGCTGCCCTACTGGAGAGTGCTGCCGCCGTGTCCCCGCGCCGCTGTGCTCCTGTGCTGCTGAGGAGCTGTGCTGCTGTGCTCCTGTGTCGCTGAGGAGCTGTGCCGCTGACCCTGCACGATGGCTGACTTTGTGCTCCGCCTGGACGCTGAGGGCCACGCGGTTGACTTCGCCGCCTGGCTCTCCGATCTTCGCCGCCAGCTTACAGGTCAGCGCCAGGATGGCCACTCTCTGGTTGTCCATGCTGATGGCTTGCTCCCCCGTCCCCCTGCACCTACTCCCCTCCCTGCTGACCCCTCCTCTGATGACCGTGAGGCTTTCTCTACTGCTGCGCTGGCCTGTGCGATCTGGGACTCACGCGATGCAGTAGCTCAGGTTGCTATTAGTCACGCCCTCCCTGTGTCTGAGCGCTCGCGTTTTGCTACTGTTGAAACGGCCAAAGCTTATTTAGACGCCGTTATTGCTCGCTATTCCACCCCTGCCTCCGCTTCTGCTGGCCGCTTGCTCTTTCCGATGCTGTTCCCAGACCTGGCTGCCTTCCCTACTGTCGCAGATTTTGCCACTCATTTGCGTGCCCTAGAGACTCGCTATCGCACTGCCAGCACTGTCTGCCCAGCTCACTGCGCTCCCCCCTCCTTTCTGCATGGACGCTCTATTTTATCGCTATGCGCCTGCCAGACCGCCTCGCTAGTGCTCGCGACCACTTTCTTAGCCAGCACCCGGGTGACCTCACCCTGACCGTCTTTGTCGACACCCTCACTGAGATCGAGACTCGCCAGCGCACTATCGCTCAGTCGAGCGGTGCGCCGCCAGTCTCTATCTTTCACGGCTGTGCCCCATCCCCGTGCACGTTCACTGACGTTTCGGCTGCGGTCGCCACGGCGACCCCTCTTACCGAGACGGCTGCTGCTGTCCACCCGCAGCAGCGGCTCGCGTCGCGGTGGCCGTGGCCGCCAGGGAGGGTAGGGGTGGTGACGCAGGTGGTAGTGGTCGTGGTGGTGGTGACGGTAGTCCGCCTGAGGGGACTACCACCGGTGGGCAGGAGCAGCAGTCCCAGCAGCAGCAGGACCAGCCCCAGCCGCAGCCGCCGTCCCAGCAGCACCCGCCGCAGCCGTGGGCTCGTCTCCCGCCTGGTTGGCCCGGCACCTCCGGAGGCGGTGGCCGTGGTGGCGGCCCGCGCAGCTTGGCGTCTACCAGCGGCTCCAGTGCTGTGACCTGCCAGTACCAGCTTCAGACCGGGCCTCTCCGCGGCACTCTGTGCCGCCGCCCGCACCCGACCGCCCGCTGTTTCCGCCGCCTCGACGATCTTTTTCGTCGTCGCTTTGGCCCGGCCCCGGACCTCCCTGACTGGCACAGCCTGCTCCGCCAGGGCGTGCCGATCTTTGAGTTAGACATGGATCAGATAGGTGCTGCTTTGCATGCTTTGTATGCTGACGCTTCTAGTGTTGATGGATCTTACTACCCTGTGTACTCTAGTTTAGATGTTTCACCCTTGTGTAGCTTAGCTTCCCCTGCTGCGACAGGCGTAGGACTGCCTAGGTTGCCTAGTCTAGTCGCTGCACCGGCTCCGTCCCCGGCCCCCGCCA